TTTTAATTTTCCCTTTGTTTTTTTAGGAAGCGTATTCAGAGATACTTGAAAATTGTATTATTATTAACAAACTTTAAGTATATGTTGACTTTACAAAAGAAAACGCCATTAAGGTATTAAACATTTGGATTGCTAAAAATACTACTTTAATATATAAAGGGATATTACTGCTACAGAGGATATACTAGGACACTTTCATTTTGTTTTGTTCGATGTATCATCTCTAATAAAATTTCAAGTAGATTTTAGCATTCCCAAAGCTTATGCAATTGAAATTTAAAAGCCCCCTCCCCCGAAAAGGGAAAATTATATCAAATCTACGTAAGCGTTCACACACCAATGGCTGAAACAAAACTCAAAAGGTGAATGAGGGAGGTAGGGGAGGAGGAAGGAAGGAAGGGAAAGTGACGAAGTGAGAGAACTAGGAAGGAGAAAACGTGGATAGGAGAGAGAGAGAGAGAGAGAGAGAGAGAGAGAGAGAGAGAGAGAGAGAGAGAGAGACAGAGAGAGAGACAGAGAGAGAGAGAGAGAGAGAGAGAGAGAGAGAGAGAGAGAGAGAGAGAGAGAGAGAGAGAGAGAGAGAGAGAGAGAGAGGAGAGAGAGAGAGAGAGAGAGAGAGAGAGAGAGAGAGAGAGAGAGAGAGAGAGAGAGAGAGAGAGAGTGAGAGTGAGATTAAGTGGGTGAGTTAGAGGGGGGGGGGACTCGCATTTACCTGGAAACATCCCATTGCAAGACGAGCCCATCCCACGTCACGTCGCTCCAGTGCTTGCAGAAGCGGGGCGCCCTGCGGTGGAATCCTGCAAGGGAAATAATATTTCTTAAGATAAGAAAGACTGGCATAATAACAGTGTAAGCAGTTACCAGCATAACAAAAGTGGCAGTAACGGTACCAATGGTCTAAGCCATGTCAAGAGTAAGAGGAAGACTTACACGTTCCCTGTCATGAGCGTTAGCACGATGCCAAGGGCGAAGAAGGCAAGGAAGGCGAGGCCGGTATTCACGGAGAGGGCGATGGGGAGCGCGCGCTGAGGGCGGCGCTGCTGCTTCACCAGTCGACCTGTCTCGTAAAAATTGCAGTATAGCACCATGCATACTGCTGCACCGGCCAGTAACTGCGGAAGTGATGGCTCGGAGATAGCGGTTTCTTATCAAAGGTTATGTGATTGAAATCTGGATCCACAGTCTGTATTTACAGAATATCCATTCAACTTTTTAAAAGGCAGACAGACAGGGTTGACAGAAAAGACCAAAATGTGTGTTATACTGCGGGTATTTCTGTTGTAGATGTCTGCTAAAATCAGCCATCTTCATCTTTTTCGGCGTCTTGTTCTTGTAGTTCTTATGGTCTGTATTCCATAATTCCTCATTGGGCCAAATATTGTTAATGTGGAAATGAACTACTTCAAAAGGAAAATCCATGCTCGATGGCGAAATGTTCTCGTTCATATGCCAATTCAGTTTCTTACATGTTAAAATAAAAAAATAAATACTTTTAATTTTTTACACAAAGATGGCTACACTTGTACTAAGTCACCAATGAGCCAATTACGAGTACTACCTATCTCGCCCGTTCACCCTTGTTATCGATTTACGAAAATATTTTACATTATCTTATTTTTCTGTTACTAATGTTTATAACATTATAGTAATTATAATATTTATAATAAAGATAACACCGTTGATATTTATAGCACTAGTAAAAAATATTTTTTTCCCGCCAATTCAAGGAAAGTGAAATCAGCTAAGGCCACAAGATCTACTAACTGACTCCTTTGTAGCTAAGCACTAGCAGAACCATCTATGAACAGAGACATTTAACAAAAGATATAAAAAATGAGCATAGCATTTTCTCCATTTTTATTTATTTTCCCCGGCGGCAATGGATTAAGGTAATTGTTCTTTCATAGTTTTGTTTTGATTAGTGGGGCTCAACGAATATCGAGCGTCTCTATTTAAGGATCAGCCATGACAGGTCAGCCACTACGGGGCAGGGCAAAATCACCTTTTATCTCGGGGCCCCAAGACTTAACCCAATGGTGCCGGGGAAAATGAACAAAAAATGGGGAAAATATTGTGCCCACTTTCTATGTTTTTCGTGAAATGTCTGCCGATAGATGGCTCTGCTAGCGCCTGATTTAAATGGCGGGAAAAACTTATTTTTCACTAGTGCTATGAAAATCGTTGGTGTTATTTCTATCATAAACATTATAATTTTTATATTTTTTTAAACATTAGTAACAGCAAAATAAGATTACGTAAAATATTTCGTAAATCAAAGAAACGGGTAAACGGGCGAGACGGGCGGTGCTTGTAACTGGCTCATTGGGGAGTTAGTACAAGTGTTGCCATCTATGCATAAAAACTATCAAACAAGTACTCACTGTGGGCATAGCACGTACGTACACGTCATACCCGGCACCAAGGGGTTAAACTGCCCCGGCGTATGGTGATAAAAGAGAGAGAGAGAGAGAGAGAGAGAGAGAGAGAGAGAGAGAGAGAGAGAGAGAGAGAGAGAGAGAGAGAGAGAGAGGGGGGGGGGGGGGGAGAGAGAGAGATTTTCAGCATTTTTTCTAGGCTAAGAGCCAAGGGTTTGCTCTTAATAAAGACTTTTAATTATGTAGCCTGAAGTCGGTTACGTTTTATCAGACATATTCATATTTCCGATATTTTAAGTAGCATAATTCGGGCAAGACGAGACATGGGGTAAGATGAGACACTTGGAGACTTTTGGAAGGAAAAGGCCTCGTTTTCGCATAGATTTCAAAATTATTCAAAACACTTTGTTTCGAGACTCCTTTGTCTTTGACTCGTGGTTTTCAACCGGAGAAGACTCATATCGCGAAGAAAGTAACGCTTTTATCAAGGTGAGTTCATTGTTAGTATTGCTTGCCGCCCAGCTTATTCGAGGTGACATACGCCAAATGCCAGTTGTTAAAGCAATATATTTTTAAGGTTGACCTCCGTAGGTTTAAACCAAGTTCAGTGCATGCCAATACCAAAGAAAACTATCACTAACAGGGTCAAAGTTTCGTTTTGTTGTTATTATGAACTTTATCTTTGTTTGTGCTTTGGGGCAAGATGCGACATCTCGGATGTACGATCATGACCGAAAATGCTGTAAACATAGTGCATGTTGTAAAGTGCAAATAATGGGGCTCTTGTGGTGTTTCTTCTGATGTTAAACTTTCAGACAAGAACGATATTTTTGTGGCATGCAATTAAGTTGATGCAGCTTTTTAAAGGGTTCAGTAAGAATGTCTGTATGATTTTTTTTTTCAATTTTATAATAAATAATTACTATATTACATGTTGAAAACACTTTTTTTTTTTTTTTTTTTTTTGCATATATATGCTAATATCTTGAAATCTAGGATAACTTTGTAAATAGGTGCATCCAAGTAACCTATAATCTTGTTGTCTCATCTTGGCTCATATGAAGGGGAAGAAGAGACAAACTGGTTCTGGGTATTAATTTTTTATTTGCTACTTATGTTAGTTTTTATTTATATTTTCTTTCATTAAATCTGCAGGAGTGATCATATGTTAGCTATTTGGCAAAGCTTGTTTTTAATTACAGAATGTTTTGTTTAAAAAAACTAGTTACTTTCTTAAGTGTCTGCCTGTATCATTTTGATCCGAGATTGTGTTCTCACATCCGCCTGAATCACCAGATTTAAATCCTAGAGAACTTATTTGGGCAGCTATGGACAGGTACTTGTCGTCGCACTCGATTTGGGGTCACCCAAAATGCCTTGCATGTATGGGAATGGCTGCGCGGAGGGCAAACGATGGTGACGGAACTACTGGCATCCATACCGCAAGGTTTGAAGGTTGTTTTAGCGGCAGGGGGAGTGAATACATATTGAAATTATAAACCTGTACTACTTCCTTTTAATATTAAGGAACAAATATATATCATTACAAAGAAATACATGCTAACAGTCTAACTTCATCATACATCCCAGAGGGTTGCGTATAATTAAACATTGAAAATAATATTGGAAGACATGACTGCTCATTTGTCATACAGACGAAAGGGAGAATACCAGAATTTGAGTTTTCTATATGTAAAAGCATAATTTTGCAATAGGCATTATGAAAAAAAATCGATGTTTCATATACATAAATAATGTGATTGAAAGCTAAATTCGATTTACTTCTCATTTCCCATCAGAGATAATGAAATCATAGAAAATGGAGACGTTAATATGTGTAGACATTTATAGAAATAAATTATTAGATAGACTTTTAACAAAATTGTTCTCTTGACTTTCAACAAATATTCACCTCTTCCTTAGCTGTAAACAACTTCCGGAAATATAAACTCCTTTACTATTCAATAAAGTGAGAGGGTGGCATAGTTCAGTGGTAGAGCGCTGGCTTTGCAATCGCAAGGTCCTGGGTTCGCGCCCGGCCGCCGCCCCTCTCAGTCGACTCAGCTGTGAATGAGTACTGATATGCTGACGTCAGCATGTTGGGGTCAAGGTCGGGGCGGAAAGGAACTGGCCACCCTACCGCATCATCCCGCGGCTTAGTAAGCATGTTTCTCTCCAAACATGTCCCCTACGTTCACAAGGACATGGGACCAACTTTGACTTTTTTTTATTATTCAATGTTTTTTTTGGCGTTTTAGTAATGATTAATGACGCCAGCACATACATAATAATACTGTACCCCAAATTTACATTCGTAGAATTATAGTACTAACTGGCTTTCCTCGCTATTCCACAACATTTCGTCGATTTTGTATATCAGTTTGTATAAAGGGTAACAATATTTTTTTCTGACTACATATAACATACATATAATAACATGAAATGCAAGCTGAGGCATCTCGTGCCCACAATGCCATTTCAAAAATAAATCATAAGCTATGCCCTATTTGGCAATTCTGCAGTGAAAATTACTTGACAAATTGCAGTGACGTCTATCATGAACATATAATCATTCATAGCAGTGCCCCAGATTCAATTGTTTTGACCAGAATTGCCAATGGCTGGACTGCTATAAATCAAACGAATAAAATAAATCCTCTGAAATTTATCCTGGTGGATTCTGCGCACGAGATTAAGTATGTAGAAACCTGTACAATGAAATCAACAAATACCTCCGAAGAGATGGCGTGGTGCAAATGGGCGGTGTTCTGCTCAGTGTGGGATCCACCCACGACAAGAAAGAAGAGAAGCGCTAGCACTGATGTGACGCCCATGCTGGCTCTTAGGAAGCCAGATTGCTGCGGAGGAAGCGAGAGTAATTAGAGTTTCACGTGCAACCAAATTCAATCTGAATACGCTCATGAATTGACAAAGGCCTTGCGCCTCATGACACGCCACCAAGCTCACCTCGAGGCCCAGCGCCAGTAGGACAGCCACCGAGAGGGAGGCGCCCGCCGCGATCACGTCTGGGACGCCCTGCGTCCATGGGAGGCGGCCTATAAGACGCCCCACGAACGCCTCCACCTTCCTGCCAGTCATATAGTCCATCGTCCCGGACTACGGGAAATGGGGGC